GCCGTATCGCTTTTACGCCTTCTTTCGGAAATGAGTGGTGCTGGCCACGACGAGGCCGCCAGCCCGCGCTTGTTCTTGGCTTTTTTTATGTCTAAAAGACCCTCCTCGACAAGGACGAGGGTGGCGGCCCGCGGGACGTCCGACTGCTGACGGCCCTGGCGGCACGGCGGCGCGTGGCGATGGCCCGGCTTTTATGAGCTCGTTTGGATCACGCGCTCCTGGAGACACCTGTAGGCAGTGCAGGCGCGCAACCGTGGTCACCCGATCTTGATTTCTGGTGTAGAGGTTGCGCCGCACAGTGGGCCAGAAGACCGGTGGAGGCGGCCAAAACTCTAGACGCGTTTTGAGCTACAGAGTCGCCAAACAGGACTCGAACGGAACGTGTGACCCCACCAATGGATTCCTCGTTCGGAGAGCAATCCATTGGTGGGGTCACACGTTCGGTTCGAGTCCCATTTAGCGACTCTGGAGCTCAAAACGCGTCCGGGGTTTCGGCCGCCTCCACCGGTCTGCCGGCCCACTGTGCCTCGCGAGGCCCGCGCCAGATCCGCGATGCACCGCCGCGAGCCCGTCGTCGCGTCTCGGACCGGAAAGTTTGCCACGTAGCGAAGCAATCGCGCCGACCCGCCCACCACACTGTGCACGCGCGGGGGGCGCCTCGCGGGCCAAAGTCATAAAAACTTGGCTTTAATCTCAAAGATAACGGCAAAAATGAGGTGTTTGGCTCATCGCGCGCGACTCGGCGCGCGACGCGGATGGGGAGCGAGACGCGTCGTGCAATTGAGTGAGGGGTCGTCAGAAACCGCCGCAACTTTCCGTTTTTAAAAGTGGCTGGTTTTATGCGTTGCGGTGTTGCGTTGTGTCGCTGGCGGCCGTTTCGATTTGTGCTTCGTTTTCTCGCGGCGCTGCGTCGCCCTGGATTGCCAGAAGGTGTCGGACGCGGCCCTGCAGACTGATTCCGAGAGTCGTTTCCGTCGCTCTGTCTCTCTCGCGCCTATACGGAAGTCCCCCCTGAGTGCGAGAGAGACAGAGCGACGACTCTCGGAATCAGTCTGCAGGAGGTGGAAGACGCCCGACCACGTCCTGATTACACCCCAGTGGCTTAGACTCCCCTACGCCCCCCACTCGCCGCTGGCCGCCGCAGCAGCAGCAAGGATACAGGGAAATAAAAAATAATAATAATAAAGTGCAAAATAAAATGACGCCACACAAATTTTAATTACCCGGCTGAGTCTGGAGTGGCCGGCTGTGGCCGGCTGTGGCCCCGTGTACGTGGTCCTCCGTGGCCCCCTCCACCACCACGAGGAGGAGGTCGGCCGCCGGTGCGTCGCACTTTTTTTGTATTACTTTTTTTTTCCACCCTCCACTTCTGCGGTTTGAGGTGTGTGGTTGGAAGGCAAGCCGCACTCGCACCTCGTTCCCTAGTCAGGGTTGTTACAGGTCAGGGAAATCCTGGAAGTCATGGAAAAGTCAGGGAAATGAAATCGAGTCAGGGAAATCAGGGAAAAGTCAGGGAAATCGATCATCGGGTCAGGGAATTTCACAAGATTGTCCCAAAATCGCCCGCGTCGTCTGTTTTTTTACTTTTGTCAATTGCGGGATTACATATGGCTTTTTTTTCTTACCTTCATTTTTTTTTAAAGGAGAAAAAAAACAGTTTTGTATAAGGGTGGAATTGAGACTTGTGGTAGATTAGACGGTAATAAATGTTATCGTGCGATTTTTGCTCTGCTATCTTGCGACCGCCGCTCCGCAGTTCATGGCGTGGTGGAGCGCGTGCGTGCTTGTGTGCGTGTGTGTGTGCGTGTGTGTGCGTGTGAGCGTGCGAATGTGTGCGTGCGGGTTTAGCAATGCCTGGCCAGTCCGGTCCGGTCCAGCTCACTTTTGAAAAGTAATTAGTGCGTGTGCTAAGATAGGGATCAGATACGCATGCATGCGTTAGTATGTGTGGGCTGGGCCGTGACGGTGTGTGGGGGGGAGGGGGGAGGGGGGGATGTCACAGGCAGAGAGTGTATGAGTGGGGATGACACCCAGCATAGGACCCCGCGCAACCCCCGAAACGAAAGGGCCCCGAAAGTTCGGTGCGTGCGTGAGTGGGTGGACGCCTTTTATTTGACTCTGTTTTCAGTGTTTTCGTGTAATTTTTTTTTCAGAATATTTTCTTTTTTTTATCGGAGCGGCCGCGCGATGGGTTTCGAACCCTCGGCTCGCCGTGTGGGTGTTGTTGTGTTCCTTCATTATTTGCACCTCTTTGGGCGGTGCGCTAAGCCGGCGCGCCGTCCCGCCGTCCGGGGCCTCATAAAAGTTGACTTAGAGCGCTCCTAGTGCCTTTGTACGAATCCTTTGTATGACCGCCACCTTTCTTGCTCGCTCGCCGCAACGCAACGCTACGCGGCGCCCAATATGTTGCCTAAACCGCGTACAGTGCGCACCTCGCAAAGTTGCCCTCTTTAAGCGTGCCGTTTTGTTCTGCTCTCTTTTTTCCCTTTCCCCCGAAAGAGAAAGCCCGAACTCGAAATGTTGCCGTTTTCTGGTTTTTAAGACTCCCTCGGGGGCGAAAGTGCGTCGTCCACCGTCCGCGCTCTCGCCCGGCGGTGGCCTTCAGGCGGCCTTGCGGCGCGTGTTACCCCTTTTGGAGGAAACTCGATTAAGCTGATCCCCGCATCGGCGTCGGAAGTGTGTGTGTGTGTGTGTGTGTGTTGTGTCTGTGTCTGTGTGTGTGTGTCTGTGTGGTTGTGTGTGTGTCTGTGTGTGTGTCTGTGTGTGTGTGTCTGTGTGTGTGTCTGTGTCTGTGTGTGTGGTGTGTGTGTGTGTGTGTGTGTGTGTGTGTGTGTGTGTGGCTGCGTGCGACTGACGCCTGTCCGTACTGGCACCCCCCACGCACTCACTCACGCACACATGCACACTTGTGCCTACAACCTGGACCGGTCCGGAGATGTCACTTCCCGCCTAAACGATCAGCTGAAGTGTGTATGTGTGTGTGTGTGAGTGTGCGTGGGTGGGGGAAGCGACCGGTCACCGGTCTGGCTCGTGCTCCCGTTCTATTCATTCGTTTGTTTGCCGCCCCGCTTTGCATATTAAGTATTTATAAAAATGGATTTCGGCCGTTCCCTGCATCTGTGTGTGTGCGTGCGGGCGTCCTTTTTTTGTTGTTGTTTTATTCGTGCGTGAGTGGCCCACTCTGCATGTTATGTCTTGGGCCGTGCGTCGCTGTGCGATGCCGAATGCTGCGAATGCTGCCCGCCCCTCCGTTTTGCCCTCTTTGTGATTGGTTGACACTCCACATATTCCCCTCTGCATGTGCCCCTTTCCTTTTTTTGCGCGCGCGCGCGGACCACCGCCCTCCTTTTTATTATTTATCATTTCTGTTTCCCTTTTCAGCCGGTTTTTATTTATTGCTTCGCCAAAATCTGACCCAGAATCCGCCGCCGCCGCGGCGCTGTGTGTGTGTGTGTGTGTGGTGTGGCGGAGTCCGCCGATTTCTCATACGGATGCTTGATGGTGTTTTTATTGTCGTTGTTCTTTTCTTCGGAACCTCTGCGGCGTCTTTGTTTTCTCTGTCTTCTCTTTCGCCTTCTCTCTCTCTCTCTCTCTCTCTCTCTCTCTCTCTCTCTCTCTCTCTCGAAATGCCTGCTGTTTCCCGGTCGCGGTCCACGCGTCGATGCCGGTGCCCTTCGCCTTGACGAGCGTCGTTACAGTGGTGTGTGTGTGTGTGTGTGTGTGTGTCTGTGAGTGAATGCGAGTCCAAGAGGGAATTATGAATACCTCTCCATTCCGCCTGCGTCGCTGCGTCGCTATGCGTCGCGTCACGCGGCGGACACAGAAAGCTTTCGGGCGAAGAGAGCTGGGCGGCCCGCCAGGCATCGCCAGACCCGGCCGGCCTGGCCGGCAGGTGAGAGGCGCGCCTTGTTTGTTGGTGTAGGTGTCGTGAAGGGGAGGGGGAAAGAAAGCGTGAAAAATAGATTGGCGTTGTTTTTGCTCACCGTCCGGCCCAATGCGTGAGGAAGGGCGCGGTGCGGGCAAGCGGATGGACAGACAGACAGACAGACAGACAGACAGACAGACAAAGGTGGCCGTCCAGTCGGCGTGATGCCCCCCCCCACCTCCTTTTCCCCTTCTGGACCCTTTCGCCCCTAAAGCCATTGTTGCGGGGGCACCCCCTGCTGCAGATTAGCCGTCCAAGACATATTTCACATTTTGCGTGACTGCTGCTGGTTGGCGGTCGCTCGCTCTGTGTGTGTGTGTGTGTGTGTGTGTGTGTGTGTGTGTGTGTGTGTGTGTGTGTGTGTGTGTGTGTGTGTGTGTGTGAAAGGAGGTGGGGGAGGGAAAGGGTTGTCCTTCCCGCTTTGAATGCGGTGCCGTTTGCGCGCGTTTTGCCCGCGACACCTTATGGCCGCTCCTTAGTAGACTGTCTCTTCGCGCTGAGGCAGGCCAAGCAGGCCCTCTGCTCCTAGAGGCGCGGCGGCGGCGGCACGTTTCGAATCGGAAATGCTTGCCGCTCCGCCGCCGGAAGCGGCGTGGGCGTGCGTGCCTCGCGCCCCGCAGCGCCGCCCCGAGAAATATTGGCCGCGATCCCTCAGGACTTCCGAGAGGACAACCAGGCAGGACACGCCGCCCGGCGGACTGATTCCGAGAGTCGTTTTCGTCACTCTGTCTCTCTCGCACCTTACGGGGCGCCCCGTGAGTGCGATAGAGGCAGAGCGACGAAAACGACCCTCGGAATCTGTCTGCATGCAGTCAGCCCGGTCCGGCGGGCGCAGCGGAGCGGAGCGCCTGTGGTCTAGCCCTTAATGGTAATGGTAACGACGGGTAGGCAGTCCCGTTACACTTCGGCGCGCCGCGGTACAGGCTGCCGCCCGTTCGCAGGCGTCAGGCAGGAGACCGCCGCCCGGCCGACCACTCGCTCGGAGAGCCTGAGGAAACAGTGGTTCCCTTCCACTGTGCTGCTCCACTGTCAGCACTGTTGATGGCTCATGTTGTTGTTTTTGTTGTTGTTGCAGGCTCCGCTCCGTGCTGTCCTCGCCCGACATGGAGGTGCGGCAGGTCCGCTGGCACCCCGGCTCGCCCAACGACTCCCACCTGCTGGTGCTCACCGCCGACAACTCCTTCAGGTGGGTCGACGACGACGAGACACAGTGGGCCAGAAGACCGGCGCATGCGGCTGAAACTCTAGACGCGCTTTGAGCTCCAGAGTCGCTAAACGGGACTCGAACCGAACGTGTGACCCCGCCAATGGATTCCTCGTTCGGAGAGCAGTCCATTGGTGGGGTCACACGTTCGGTTCGAGTCCCGTTGAGCGACTCTGGAGCACAAAACGCGTTCGGGGCTTTGACCGTCTTCACCACCGGTCTTCTGGCAATTCCACTGTGCGGCGGGACTTCTTCCGCTTGGCGTTTGGTTTAGTGCAGCAGCGTTGTGGCAGTGCAGTGAAGCCGTCCTTTTCCCGCAGGCTGTTCAGTACGGCGGCCGAGCCCGACGTGCGCCTGCTGCACGTGTGGCACCTCGGCCGCGCCCCCATCGGCGGCGTCACCTCCTCCGCCAAGCTGCCCCTGCTGGGCGGGCTGGGCGAGACCGCCGTGGACTTCGACTTCGCGCCGCCCGTGGTGGGTATTTCTAGCAGATAGGCAGCACCATTCTCAGGATTTTCTGAATGGCGTTCAGAGACTTCAGAGAAACACTCAGATTTTTCTGCCATTCAGAATTCAGAAAACCACTCTGGAAACCCTGAATGCATTCAAAACCAGTGTATACCTTTACTTAAAAACAAACATAAAGGTACAATACACATTAAGGTGTCAGCTTGTTATTCTTATGTCAGAAGCTGCTAGCTTGTTGGCGATCTTTGTCTTCTTTTTTGTTGTTTTTTTTGGGGGGGGAGGACTTTAAAGTTCGTTAGCATTGATTCATCCGCGAGAAATAAATTGGTCGGAAATGGCCTGAACGGTGTCGTCGGCGGCGTGACTCGCCCGTCGTCGTGTCGGTGATCTGCCTCCCCCTCCCCTCCCCTCCCCTCCCCCTCCCCTCCCCCTCCCCTCCCCTCCCCTCCCCCTCCCCCCTCCCCTCCCCCTCCCCTCCCCCGCCGCTGCGGACCGGAATGGCGTGCCCGTCGCGGTGGCGTCCGGCGGGGCCGGCGGGGCGAGCACGCGGTTTTTAAAATGAGGTTTCGCGTCTAATTTCCTGTCCCTTTACCGAAACTTTGCCGCCATCCGCGCCGCTTCGGCTTCGGCCCGGCCGCCGCAGACTGATTCCGAGAGTCGCTCTCGTCGCTCTGTCTCTCTCGCACTCGCGGGCGCACCGTGCGGGTGCGAGAGAGACAGAGCGACGAGAGCGACTCTCGGAATCAGTCTTCAGCACCGCGCCGAACCCGTTCCGTTCCTCCTCCCGTCCTCAGGTCGTCCGGACCGAGGGGCGACTCGACGCGACGCGGCGACTCGGCGGCTGTGGGTGGAAAAAGTGGCCTTTGCGCACCGCGGCGGCGCGGCTGCGGACAGATTCCGCGTGGGTCGTCGTCGTCGCTCTGTCTCTCTCGCACCCATAAGAAACGCCCCGTGAGGGCGAGAGAGACAGAGCGACGCTTCTCGGAATCGGTCCGCTGGAGGGAGCGCGGCTGATTGTGCCCCAGGGCGTGGCCGGGAGCGGCTCGCCCGCGAGCAGGCGAAGATGATCGCCGCCCTGGTCTCGGCCTCGCCGTCGTCCTCCAACCTCCTAATTGATCGATTTTTTTTTCGCGTTAATTTTGTTTGTTGTTTTTTTTTTGCCGCGCGCGGAATCTTATCCAGCGGGTTGCTATGACGGGGAGGCCCCTCAGGTCGGGTCAGACCGCGTTCGCGTTAGGTCCGCTTGGTAACGGCCGACGTGCGGGCGGTGCTTGGTGGCTTGGCGGCTCGGCGGCTCGGCGCGTCTCGCGGCGTTGCGACGCCGTAACGCTTGCTAATGCCCCTAATGCAAGACGAGCCGGCAGGCCGTCGTCGCCGCGTCGTCTAGACGCGCGGCATGTGCTGCAGGCTGATTCCGCGAGGGTCGTCGTCGTCGCTCTGTCTCTCTCGCACCTGCAGGGGACGTCTCGTGAGTGCGAGAGAGACAGAGCGACGAACACGACTCTCGGAATCGGTCTGCTGCTCGCGGATGCGCGCCGCCGGCCCTTCGGTGCCCTTCGGCTTCGGCGAGGCGGATACTATGTTTACACGGCGCGCTCAAGTCAGCGACTAGCACAAGTCACTCGAAACGCGGTCGGTTTACACGCCAGTGACTAGCTAGTATCTTAATTTTATTTTCATTTTATTTTTCAATTTTATGAATTTTGCTTCATAGCTTTTTCTAATATTCGAATTTTCCGAATATCAGAAATATAAAACACCTCAAATTATTTGAAATATGAATAAAAAAAGGTTATGTCATGGAAAGTGAGTGACTTGCTCTGAAACACTCTTTATGTGACCTTTCAATTTTTTCTGGACCTCAATTATGGTTAATTCATTTATTGCTGCCCATATTTGACAACCTGTTGCCTTCAATCACTGGATTCAATCAAATATATTTGTCCACAATCCGAAAACAACCTCTGCTCTAAGTCATCATTCCCGTTTACACGGCTTTAAGTCAGCGCCTTACGTTAGTCAGTCACCGACTTACGGCTGACCGCCTTACGGTTGGTCACCAGGCGTTTACACGCAGTTTTGGTGCCTCACTAGCGCTAAGTCACGCACCAGCGGCGGCGTGTAAACATAGTAGGAGTAGTAGAGGGAAGTGCTTGGCGGCGATACTCCGCGCTGGCCGCGCTCTTCGTCGTGGAGTATCGCCGCAGCGGCCAATCAGGGCGCCGCATTAGCGCGGCAACTAGCCGCTGCCGCTAACTGGCAGAGACAGACAAGGAGCGTGAGAAAGTGAGAGAGAGAGAGAGAGAGAGAGAGAGAGAGAGAGAGAGAGAGAGAGAGAGAGAGAGAGAGAGAGGGAGAGAGAGAGAGCCTGGAGCGCGGGGATTTGGTGGTGGCGGCGGTGTGGCACCGCGACGCGGCCGAGGCCGCCGAGTACCAGCCGAGTGTAAAATGTGGATTAGAGGGGACTTAATTTGAGAGTGGCGTGGCGCGGAGAGTCTCCCGGTGACATAATCTGGAATCGTGGCTTGGCGGCGCGTAGCGCGGGGCGCGGATTGGCTAGAGGGGCAGAGTAAGCAGGGCGCCACCACGGGGGCCCAGGTCCGCCCGGTGTGCTCGCCATCGCCGCCGCCGCGCTCCGCCGTCGTTCGCCAACTAAAGTGCTGACGCGGACGTGCCGCGGTTCAACCAGCAGAGTGATTCCGAGAGTCGTTTTCATCGCCCTGTGTCCCTCGCACTCACGGGCGCCCCGTTGAGGTGCGCGAGAGACGGGGCGACGAAAACGACTCTCGGAATCCGTCTGCAGGACGAGGCCGCCCTTATCCTCGCCGCCGCGCCACCTGTGCTGTTCGCCGTTCGCCTTTTGCTTTTTATTCCCATTATAATTCTTTTTCGCTGTTTTTTTTTTCAGTGCCAGTCACCGGCCGGCAAGCTGACTGCAGCATCAACGGACCAGCTGGAATGGCCCATCATGGTGCTGCGGGGGAATGGCGACGTATACTCCGTCACCGCCCCGCTGGCGGCCAAGAGGTGAGCGCAGCGCGGCGCGGCGCGGAGGGCTGTTTTACAGTGGGAGGACTCTCTCTCGCACTCATGGGGCGAGGGTGCGTGAGAGAGACAGGACTTCTGCCTCGGAATCGCCCTGTTGTGCGAACAGGGAATGGGCGTCGCGTCGTTCGAGGGGACGGAATCGCGGACGCGTTTTGAGCTTGAGAGTCGCTGAATGGGACTCGAACGGAACGTGTGACCCCACCAATGGATTGCTCTCCGAACGAGGAATCCATTGATGGGGTCACACGTTTGCTTTGAGTCCCTTTCAGCGACTCTGGAGCTCAAAACGCGTCTAGTGTTTTGGCCGGCGCCAGTCTTCTGGCCCACAGTGTACCGTGGTCATGACCATGTGGGCTTGATGTTCCAGCGGCACCAAGGCCGTGGTGCGCGGCCCGCTCACCATGTACCCCCCTGCGGACGACAACTACGGCGTGGACGCGTGCTCCGTGCTGGTGCTGCAGACGTCGCCGCCGCTGCTGGTGGTGGCCACCTGCGCCGGCACCCTGTACCACTGCCTGCTGCTCGCCCCCGAGGACCACGACGTGCACCACGACGTGGCCGCCAGCATGCGCGACCTGAGCGTGGTGGACGACGAGGACGCCCTCCGGAAGGACGCCTCCGCGGTACGGCCCCTGCAGACAGTCGTTTTCGTCGCTGTCTCTCTCCCGCAGCTATTCAGGGGAGTGCCAGAGAGACGCAGCGATGAAATCAACTCTCGGAGTCACTAGAGTCCGAGAACTAGAACTAGTTTACAGCTCTAGGACTCTAATGGTCATTTGCATCCTTCTTTTTATTATATTTTTGTTAAATTTTTTGTAAATTTGTAAATTTGTTAAATTTTTGTATTTTTGGAATCTAGGTGTGGAATGCCTCCAGTAGTGCCAACTCCCTCGCGGGGCAGCCAGTGCTGCACGTCTTTGAGTCGGTGGAGCTGGAGCTTGGCTTGTCTCTGGATGAGGGTCTACTTGACGACGCCTCCTTCAACTGCCCTTTACACCTCCAGAAACATCCCACTTCTAACGACAGGTAACTAGGCGCTCCTTTCACCATGAAAAAAAAATTGTTCAAATTTTATATTTGTGTCTCTACAGCTGATGTTTCATTTTTTTGTCAGGTACCTTGTAAGCCATGAGGCAGGCATACACATCCTGTTTTTGCCCTTGGTCGCTCGACTGAATAAATTTGTTGATGCCTCCGATGGTAAGATCATAGACTTGGTTTCTCTTTTTAATTTTTTAAAAGAAGTATTTATGTTTATTTTGTAAATTTCTCATCTTTTTTTTTCAGATTATGCTGATAGCTTTCTTCCCAAATTTGACTCACAGAGTAATTCCATTGCGGAATACTTACTTTGCACCCGGGTTTGTGGAGCTACAAACGGAAATACGCAGTCTGAAAATCAAGTTGTATCTCCCATATTGGGTCTTGCTCTTAGTCCTTCACCAGCCACACTCATAGCACTGCTCTCTGGAGGAGAGGTGGTTAGCCTTTTGTTATCATCACTTCATCTTCCAAGTTCTTCCCATTCTCTTCTTTCATCAGGGCTAAAAGTAGAAACTCCCAAGGCAAGTTTCTAGGCACTCTGAGTTCAATATTCAATGTGTTGTCTGTCTTATGTATTGTGTCAACCATGACGTTTCTTCTCAAAATGTTGCAGCTGAATGAAGAAGCCTTTGATGAGCACATCCGTAACCTGCTTAAAAGTCGAGGCACCCTACCTATTTTCAAGTTTGAAGAGAAGGCAATGTCATCTCCTCAAGAATCATTAAAGGTAAAGACTTAATTGCTTGTTGGATTTCGACACAAATAATTAATTTTATTGCTAAAGGAAAATCATGTATGTATTTTTCAGCTCATTTATCGAGTGACCCAGCTCTTATATGAAAACTACTTTCAAAGACATGAACAGGCACATGAAGAGATTAAAAACAGGTGTGTGCATAGCACTTCATAAACGATTCTAGCTCCTCTACTAGATTAATTAAAATTTTGTGTTTGTTTCTCAGGATGAGGCGTTTGCAGAGAATTAAACAGCAACAGAAAGATGACCTTTCAACCTTATCTCGTGAAAGAACAGAAATCAAGTCCAAGACTGAATCACTCCTTGAGAAACTGAATGAGATCAAGGCAAAGCAGGAGAGCCTCAGTGATCGGTAAATTCGTCTCTCTAAGTACATTGTGTTATGTCCCCTTCAAAAGCAAACTCTGAAAAAAATTTCTGTCTCCAGTGCTGAGCGGGTTTTACGTAATGCAAGCATGAAGCAACCTGTTGTTTCCAATGCAGAATTGCAAATGAGGAAAGAACTTTCCTCCAAGCTAAACAAATTGGAGAACTTGAAAGGGAAGCTAGAAAATGTCAGAAAATACTCAACAGATCAAAAAGCCCAGGTAAGTTACATTGTGTTTTATTAGGCCGCTCTTTTCGTTTTTTTAAGTTTTACTTTTAAATAATTGGTGAAAAATTATTTAAATTTTTTTAGCTGGATCGATGGAATTACCAACAAAAGAAGAAGGCAGTACCACTTCATGAAGATCATCAGAACGTGATCAAGAACAACTTGAAGCAAATGTAAGATATTTTGGTTTGGGTTACATTTCTGTTTGTCCTCCTCAACTAGATTCTGTTATCTACTATTGTTGTCATCTAACTGAACCCTTTTTTGTGATTTTCAGGGGAACAGATCTTGCCGAATTGAAGAAAAAAGTGCGAGCCAGTCAAGTTGAATTAGGAATTAAACTTACTTGTGCTTAATTTTTCTCCATTTTTTTAATGTATTTCTCCTTTGTTTAAAACACTATTGTACTTGTATTGAATATAGAATAAAATCAAGCTGAAGAGTGAATTTTCTTTTTCACCTCTTCCAATGATTCCACCCTCTAGTGCAAGGGAACGAAGAAAGGCACAGAATATGTTAACAAAACTGGTTTTATTTGAACGAGTATTTACAACAGCAGTCTCGTATGGTGACTGTATGGAGCTGCTGGCAGCATACTGGGTGACTTGAATGAGTGTGGCAGATATCACAGGTTGTACGCGCTCCGCTCGTAGAGCGATGCGACCGCTTCACCCCTCAACCGAGCAGAAGCAGCTTCTTGAGCTTCTTCTTCTTGAGGAAGCCGGCGCTCAGGTCGGAGGGCGACTCCCAGTCCTCGGACTTGTCGGGGTTGGTGGGGTCGGAGTCGAGGGGGCTGGGCGCACACTGCACCAACACCAGCATCACGGCCAGCATCACCACCGCCAGGATCTGGAAGCGAAGCAACGCCAGGCGCCAAGGTCACACTTTGAGCACGAGTTGCACAGGGCTTCACACCGACACTCAGAGACGCAGTCACTTGGACCACGAGAACACCATTGTCCGATAGATAATGGACGAGCGAATGAGCCGTCGGGCTGCCTACTGACGAATGGCTAGACTCACCAGGAGAGACCTCATGTTGGATCGGTGCGTTTGCTCGGATGTCGCTGGGACAACTGGTGCTGTGCCTCGAAGAAGAAAAGTCTTTTATAGTGCGCCGCCCGTCGGGCCGCGTCGCGCAGGGCGTTGGGCAAGAGGGCAAGCTTCTTCGGCTTCGGCCGGAGCCCACCTTTCGCTGTCGCCATCGGCGAACGAAAAGAGGCGGGGCGGGGCGGGGCGGGGAACGCCGCAGGGCTGGGAAGCAGACGGGCCAAGCGACAGCCGCCAGCCGGCGTGGAAAAAACAGTGCCCTTCGCGGGGGTCACGCGGCCCTGAGTCTCAAACGGAGTGCCGTGCAATCGGAGCCAAGTTCAAGTTTCAGGTGGCAAGCTTTTCACTCTAAGGTCTTGTGATAATCATTTTATGCACACAGTATTATGCAACGCGCGGACAGACTGCTTTGAGCCTACGCCGCGTAGGTAGGCAACCCACCGTCCACAGTGTCTTCAACTCAATAGAGACTTCTAGATTGACTTGGTCTCTACATCTCAACTAGCGTCACGGAAAAAGTCATTTTCACGCCAAATAGAATGCGTCAAAGGCCGTTGGGCACCGGGCATCTGTTTCTTAGACCCACAGCAACGTTCCATACGAATTTCAGACAAATCGGAGGTGGTCGACCATTTCCGTCGAAAAAATGTTAAGGCTATACATCATGGTTTTTTGACGTTTTGGGCAAGGAATTTAAAATGGCCCAAATTCGAGTACGTTGTGCTGGTGCACTCCCTCAAGACTCCTGACACTATTTCGAGAGCCATTTTGGCCCTAAACTGTCTTTTTCTGGCGAAAAACTGGACTGCTTTGGGCCTGCGCCGCGTAGGTAGGCAACCCACCGTCCACAGCTTAGGGTTTTGGGCAGCTGGTACGACTTTGTGGCCACCAACAGTAAACAGCAGCGGCGCGCGGCGCGGCGGGTCAGTAGCCTTCCCTCCAGCGGCGCCGCGAGGCCCGCGGGGGGTCTAGTCTAGTCGAAACCTGGGTGCTTGCGGCCCGGCCTCCAGACAGCCGCCGGGACCGGTTGGTGCGACAACGGACAGCAGTGAACATTCCATTTCAGCATTTCGGCCTCTCGTGACCCTGACCGTGACCCTGCCCGACTCGTGGGCCGGCTGGCGAGGTTGCCCAAACAACTAGGAGGGAGGGGGAAACTTGAGATTTTGGTTCAAAAATGTTAAATTACGTGAATTCTTAATTTTAGGTTTATCGGCCGTGTTGCCAACATCGCCTGTTTCCATGTAACCACTTAAATATCAGGATCAGAGTTTGACGCATGGAGACAAAATAAAAAGAAGTCCAAGTGCAACAGTCAATATACAAATGTATTTATTTCTATCTCGCATAGCATAACAGTATTTCATAACAAAGTCTAAAGTACAATTTATTAAGACCAGATTGTGATCGATAACCTGGAAGGAATCACGCTGTGATTAACAGAACCTTTGGGGTTTTCATTTGTTTCTTTATGAGAAACAATATCTACACGCAGACTACAGGATGAGTCATTAAAAAACAACAACACAGGTTAAACAAAATCACAGAATGGTTAACATAATCTGCTAGTTGCAACAATGGCTGTAACTTACCTTGACAATAATAAGTAGAACTAAAATTGGAATAGGAATGCAAGCATGATTTACTGAAAAGAGAATACAATTTATTGTTTTAAAATACAGTCTATTAACAGCATTTCATCAAACAAGGCATTCAGTAAAAGGTTCAATGAATAAAGGGAAACAAATAAGAGAAATTACAAAGAAGTAAAAAACAAACAAAACAAGGATATAAAGATGCAAACGATAAAATTGAAGGAATTCAACTATAAATTTTAAGCTTTACAAGTAAAGTTAAATGAAGAAAACGAGAAGTAAAGTACAAATTCTAATTGATGCTTGGTAAAAAAAAATATATGTTTTTAAGAAAAATTGAAGACACGGTTTATTGTAAGAAAATTGATACGGCAGCAGTTACTGACAGTTTAGATCAGCTCAGTCAGTGGACACATTGTTAAAATCACTAATCACAGAAAAAAATCAGATGTAACTTTGAATTGAACAAGTGTGATATAAATGGCAACACAAACAATTCATCTGCCTCATCAATAACACAATTATAGTCAAACTTCCTACTAATCTGTCCCGCAACAGTGCAAACTCCAAAAAAACAATATAGGTTACACTTATCACAAATTGATATCATTACAATTTCAGATATACTCTTGATCACATTAGAAACAGGAAGAAGCCAAAATAAATTTATAACATTACAATATTTAATGGTTTGGTCCCTACTGGTTGCCATTCTCTGAAATAAATATACCTAGTACTACAAGTAACATTTTCAGGATGAAAATTACACTTAGGTACCAGATGGTAACAGAGGACCTCTACAGCATCTATGATGATGCCACAAGAGCAGCAGCTCCAGTTGCACTGTTTACAGTTGTATTACATACAGATTCACTAATAACAATAGCTGATTCAAGTCGCATCCGCTGAAGAACAGCTTCTTTGTCTGAAATGCCCAACAAAGAGCAGAACACTTGCAGGTGAGCACCCAGGTTGTAAGTTCCTGGTCCAGGAATGGCAGCACGTAGTGACACGGTGTGGGAAGATCTACCAGCCAATTCCACATTTGACACTAGGCGGCCTACCCAACGCACTATAGAGGAGGCATGGGGAAGGTAAAGCTGACTCTTTGAAGGCATGCCACTGCAATAAAGCAGAAGAAAAATTAAAAGGTGGACAGAAAATATAAAAGCGAGTGGAAACACATGCACATGGCATTCACACAAGAATTGGATTGACTTAGAAGCTCACCTTGGTAAGTTTGCGAGACTGACTTTAGCAAAGAGAGGTGAATCACAGCAATTGTGTAAGATAAGTTGGACATCAACAACACACAGCCTGCAGAAAAAGAGGAGTCCAATTTAAAAATGAAAGGCACTTCACCATGCACATGATTTTAAATTAAATACACAACAAACCTTTGTCTACTAAAGTCATGGGAGAGATGAGAGGGATGCTTTAAGCTGTACATGACAAGATGTTGCATTGTTTCCAAAGAAACAACTCCTTTACTAGCAATAATGTCAGACTCAGAGGGTACATTCCTATCAGGCCCAAAAACACGTAAAACTGCAGGGCCTTTCTCAATTGCATTTTGAATCAAAGGTGGGCATGAAGTGCGCTTGTTGAGTCTTGAAAGAGTGAGATGAGTTTGACCAAACGCTGAGCGAATAGCACCACCACTGTCCATAACTGCAGCCTGTTGGGAGAAGGATATGTAGATTAAATTATGCACAGAGACAATATACTGGTAGTACCAAAAATAGATAAGAGAAAATTTTACCTTCCACTTAAGAACTATTGTAATACAGATTGCTAGAGCTGCTTCAGTCACACTGGTTTTGTCAACAGAAGAACTTGTAGAATTAGAGTTCCATTCTGGAAGCCGTTGTAAGAAGTCTCTGTGGGGTCGGTTGGCACAAGGTTCAATAGGCTCTGCTGATGAGGTAGCGAGTCTCATGTCTGAAAATGTTGTTGGGCTCCCTACAGAGCACCGACGGGCTCTAAGTAGAAGTTGCACCGATTCCTGGGAGCTTAAAACTGTATCTACAAGCAGAAAGAAGAAATAGAATTAATAACTTGCTTTTAACAATTGTCAAACGGATGGGTTTTCCAAGAAGGTTGGCATATACCTTGGGGAGTTATAGTGACAGGAATATTGCTTAAGGTCCATGTCGGGCTGGCTAATGACACTTGCAACAAGGTGATTTTGGTTAGCAAGAGGTCTTGAACCTAAAATGAAAAGTGAAAAGTTGTAGGCAAAGATGATCAAATAAAATGGAGCCTCAATGAGCCATTTTCATGTAGTAACTCACTTTATTGGTATTCATGATTCTTGTGTTTATGTTTAATGTTTCCTCTGCACTAAGCGCTTGGCTTCGACTGGCCTCAGCACTAAACTGAACAGATTCCAAAACGGTCAGTGGCCAGTAGTGACGTACAAGTCGATACCTGAAAGAAGAGAATTGGACGTTAATAATGATAACCCAAAAAATGTTAGAGTAAGAGAAAATGTTAACACTTACTTTGGTAAGCTAGTGCTGTCACCACTGTCTAAATAAAACAGCATTTTAAGAGCTGCAGAGCCTGGGATATCAGGTGCTCTTAGCCACATAGTCAGTGTTCGCTTCTCTTGTGGTTTAAGAGGTCCTTGAAGAGGTATTCGCTGGACTTGAGGCAAACCTTTAGGACCATTTTCTGACAAATGCAAAAGAGAGTATTAGTTGAAGACCCAATAAAGAATAATAATAAATTCAAGTGAAAAAGAAAACAGAAGTACCTATTTGGGGCAGATCAATTATGGTGAAAAGGTGTGGAGTATTTGAGCCTATAAGCAGTGTTTGAATAGGTGCACTGCCTATATTAATGAGCTCGATTTGGACTTTTTGTAGTTCTCCACAGAGCATCTCAGAGACTAGTCCAATCATTTTGACCTAAAATTACATGAAGAAAAAAAATAAAGTTCAGCACACAACAAAAGATAACTTTAGTCAGATCATGATTAGACAGTAGGTAAAAATATGCTCAAACCTGAAGCTGAGGACCTCCAGGGACAATTATAACATTCAGGCGATTATCTTCAACTGGTTTATTTTCTTGTGTAGGACGTTCTTTACCAACACGAAGGATTTTTTTTGGTTGCAAAACAAACATCTAAAAAATTAAAATTAACTATATTTAGTTAAAAGACATCAAACTATTCGGAATAAGATTTATTTATTTATTTCGATATAAACACCCTAAGAGCATGGACTCCGTTCGGGCCGTATACAGATGGGGCTGAGAAGCCCCATGCACTTAGCAATAACACTTCCATACCTGCTTTCCCTGTACAGAGAGAGGAGTTGATGAGGTAGGTGATAAGACAGCTGGGTTTGGAACAGCAGCAGGAGCAGTAGGAGTATTGGCATCAGCTAATGATGGTGATGGATAATTTATTTTATATGCAATACCCAACAAACGCAAGTTTCCTCTCTGACGCGGTATTACTGACAACACCAGCTGCCGTGATGAATTTGGTTCAAGCAACAGTTGTGGCAAAAGACATGTCTCAACAAAGTGTTGGCCTTCTTTTTCTGTAACTTTCTCATTTTCAATCCAACTTTCATCTTCAGACTCAGGTGTTGGATTATTAGTTGCAGGTTTAAAAGCCCATAATAAATGGACATTAGAAAGAGGCAAAGGAACACCAGTTGGATTCTGAACTGTTACAGATACTGAAACTGGTTCTAGAGAGCAGAAACAAGAAAAGAAAAGATTAATTTAGACCCAGCACAGGGAAATATTTTAGAAATGGTTTTGAAAAATCAAACACTTGCCTCTCATGACCGACAAGGGATTTTTACTGTTGTCAGTATGATTTGTGAAAAGGGTTGCAATGGGCTTAAATATTAAGAGTGCAGTTCCCTGCACTTCTGTTAAGAGCTTTTCTTCAAGCTGAATCCAAGAGCTGAAAAATAAAAATCACTCTATTCAGAGGAGAAACAATCAACAGTTGAGACAACATTGTCACATCTTTCAAAAAAACAATAATTACCTTGCATCATCCAGAGAATCATCAACAAAATTAATTCTGGATGCAAAGATTTGCGGCCCATGCTGCTTATCTACTGGAGGCGGTAATGGGCCAACAAGAACTGCTATGGATGTGCTTTGTAACAAGGGAATAGGTAAGCTTGGCAACAGTCCTGCTTCATGTGGAAGTTGCTGAAGAGTGATGGCAACATTATTAATACAAAGGCATTAAGTTGAACAGGAGGCTACAAGATTCATTCATCCCTAATCTACCTGATAAATTTGCAGGTATTCCCGCAAAAATGCTGCTTGTTGAAGGGGTGACTGCTTGCTGGCTGGATTGAAGAGCCGTCCAAAGGCTTGAGCAGAAAGTTCTGTTGAGCGCAAAAAGGCAGCTTGCCTCCCAATAGTAAAATGAATGTGATCCTCTGCCAAGTTCCAGCCCTTTCCCTTGTAAATCTGACAATAAAAAAATTATTTAAATTAAAAATATTTGTATTTTTATTATGAAGACCCAACAGTTTTGCTCTAATTTACCTGATATGCTTGCTGATAGCACCTCAAAGAATGCTTCTTTTGACCGGCTTTATTAAATCTGTGCCCAGCTAAAACCATATGGAAAGAAAATTTGCGAAGCATGGGTGGTTTGGAAGCTTGTAAATAACAGAAAGCTGCTTGCTCAAGAAGGAGAGCTGATCGTAAATCTGAGTCTTCACTAGTCATTCGTAATAGCTGCTTAGCAGCATCTCCATACTGAGCACGGCTTTTTAAGCATTCCGTGCTAAGAAGGGTGCTTCTTGTAGCAAACTGCTGCAACCTTAAAGAGAAATTTAAATAGAGAAGAAATTTAAATAGGAAGTCAACCTGTACGTGAGGTAAAGGCAATGAATAAACACATACCTGCAGGTGTTTAGGTAAGTAAGAATAGCTTCCTCACAGTACTCTTGGGCTTTACGGCCACCCTCACCCATCATGAACACTGACAACGCAGCCATTTCCAATGCTCCAGCATAATACAACCAAGCACCATCGGCAGCAAAATCTCGCTTGGCTGAGTGAAAAGCTTCAAAAGCAAGTTTGTAATGTCGAAACATGAAGCACAAATCACCCATACGACGCAGTTGAAGCTCGGGAGCATCTCCAGAATAACTGTAAATATCCAATCCAGAATTAGAACTTCTATGACTGAATAAATACTTAAGGACGTAATTAGTGTGAGAGAAAAAGCAACTTACATAACAGCATTGGTAGGGACAGTGGAATTAGGAGCACCAGGTTTATTTGTTCCAAACCACCTCTTAGTAGCACCCAACAGAGATCGGCTGACACTTTTCTTGTTCGAAATCTGCATGGATGAAAAATATGAGTGATAAAGAACAAACAAAAGAAATGTAAGAACAATGGAAACAGACAAGTAATTGTATCGATCTTACTTGATCATGAAGTTGTTGAATTTGTTTCTCAATATGAGGGAGAAGAGCATGCGCACACATATCATGAATAAAGGCTCTGATACGATCAATGTCAGGAGTTGTGAGACATGCACCATGAGGAATCAAAGGATTGTTTCCAAGAGGAGTACTGACAGGTGTATTGCTTGAATTAATACCGGCCCATACATTAGTATTCAGAGGAGCATTTCCGATCATGTGATTAACTGCAGCACCCTGAAAAAAAATCCGTCCAAAAAGAAATAAAATACCACTTCTCTAAAGCAACACAAATGCGTCTAGTCAAAACACCACAATGATGAGTACATCCATACATTTTCTGAGCCAGGAAGCTGATAGCCATCTTCCTGTGGGCTTAACGGATGCTGCATGACAGGAACAGGTGACGAGGCACCAGACTCGACTGAATTATGTTCCGAAGGCAATTCTTGACTGGCTTCTTGAGCAAGTTCGGCGTCATCTGTTGACACACGGTTAGGCATTCCCGTGACCCCAATCATTTCTGCTGGAGTCCTTGGGCTACTATCATACTCGTGAGAATCTGCCGAAGTCTCCGAGTGACGACTGACATATTGGCTCCAAGGATCTGGTAGATGACTAACATCTTCATGTTGCCCCGGTGGCCGAGTATTAATGTTCAAGAGAAAACAATTATTTGCTCCATATTCCGACTTCATGGAGGTGAATGTTGCTTCAGCCCTGCAGAGAGAATAAAATGCAATCAGTGAAGTAGGATGACCTTGTTTTAGATTTAAACTAGAGTGAGGACATAAAACTTACTTAGCTGCATCTCCTTCATTGACATCATTAAGCAAGAGATGGTAAAGTAAAGGAGGAGAAGGTGTTGCCATCCATTTTGGTAATTTACCCGGAGCTACAGCTTGCAGGCTCTGCATCTGTTGGCGCAACCCTCGCATCACATCTAGAGGAGATGGTTCTGCTGCAGATACAACAGCAATACAACCGAGGTAATGCTTGGTGAACTCATGGTCAGCTGGGAACTGAACTTGCAAGAAAGTTTCACGCCATGCCTCAAACCATGGGGTGGCAGAAGGCACTTCAATTTTTTGATCACCTGAAGACAAATTCATCATTTATAATAAAAAAAATTAAACACTAAGAAAATATAAAGAAAATAAAACTGATATTGGAAAGGATTTAACTTACCAAAGGTGAGAGTAGTTTTATTATCGTTTATTGCATTAGAAACAGACTCATTCAAAAACTTTCGAGCAAGTGTTGGCTGGGGCGGACGTGAGTGAACATCTTGCAGACACACACGTAAATTCTTGACAGCTACATTTGCACCTAGGGGATCGCGGAAGTGAACTGTCAAAGAAAAAGGGGTAAAATGAAGAAAAGTTTACACAAAATGTTTAACATGAACCCTAAAAACTACAAAAGATGGGCAATTGACAAAAAATTGACAGAAGATCTTAACCTACAATGACAGTTATCTTACCTTCCGATGTCAGTCGACAGAATGGTTGAACCATTTCAACAAATGACAGATTATTCTTCCGGCAAAGTTGTTCTGCCATTGGGCTGCTGAGAACAGCAACGAGGGGTGAAAAAGCATTTTGAACAAACTCGTAAGGGGTTGACTTGCACTGAGCCATTATTTCAGCATTACAGTACACCACGGGTATGAAGTTCAAAAAAAGTGCTTTAATGAGATTCTGATGTAAGTCTCCGATACATACGAAGACTTTCACAAACAAATCTTAGAACACAACCCAGTAAAACAAATTTTGCACATAAAATTTACAGTCAACACCATTGTGTCCAGTCAGAAGCGGCCATGTTGATGATTACATGTTGTGCCAACCTCCACGAACTACTCATTCAATCCAAATCTTAATGGATGTTCTCGAATAATGTGAGGAAAGGGATGATTTCGAAGGTATTTTAAATTTTATCTTAAGATAAAGATGACACATTTGATTTAGAGAGGACTTAAACTTAAAATTTTCCAGGTCGTTCTTCCGTTTGTGAACAGGCAGTGGACTTTGTTTTGCTCAATCAGCTGTTGTGTACTTCTGCTTGTGGATGCTTGGTGTTGATCGTTCGTTTCAAAGTTCACTTTCTGTGTAGCCACACTTTCAGTGACGTGAACCTTATTAGTTGATTTTTAGTTTTATCTTTTTATGTCCAGTGACATAAGTGCACCTAAAACTGCATTGAGGGAATGTTAATGTTTGTTTATTTGAGGTTACCCTTTGTTATTTTCTTTCTAACGCGCCCCATGCACTGTACTTTTGGCACTCTTTCATAATGAATTCCATCGAAGAAAGTTTAGAAGATGATACAAAATGTTCCATTTCAAGTGGAACCATGGAGAGTCAGAGACCTCGAGCAGGTAACTCAATGTTTGACTGTAGTTACTGTGCTAATATTTCCATCAAGGCCGTATCTAATTTTTACCTCTGAATAATTCTTTGAGTGTTTGCTGATATGTTGCCATAACCCTTTATGCGTCTCCAGCCTCTGTAAATTCGAGTTTCTTGTTTTTTTTTTGTTCTTTTTTTAGGGAACACCCCTGGCTCAGGACGTTTATCTGCAATATTTTTAGTGATAAATGCTGCTCTTGGAGCTGGCCTCCTCAACTTTCCGCAAGCATTTGACCAGGCTGGTGGTATTGTCACTGCTATTGCTGTACAAGGTGTAAGTATGGATACTTCGTATGCAGTTATTTCAATGTGAGATACTTCTTAACTGAAGAGTGATGTAAATGTCATGTGATTCCAGGTTCTGATTCTCTGGATTGTTGGTGCTTTGCTTATACTTGCACACTGTGCCGACAAAGCTGGGGCACTCACACTGCAGGATGTCCTTCAAGCTGCATGTGGACAGACAGGCCTAATAACATGCTCTATAATAGTAGCACTGTATTGTTTTGGTACTTGTGTGACATTCCTCATAATTATTGGAGATCAATTTGACCGAGGTATTATTCAATATTCCTAACATGTTTTGCAGCTCATGACATTTCTTTCACTGATTTGGTTTTTGTTTTAGTTCTGCTCTCAGTATGGGGAAAGGATTTCTGCCACCTTTGGTATTTGGATCGTTCATTTACTATGACCATTAGCTCTATTCTGTTTGTTCTCCCACTTTGTTATTCCAAGCGAATTGATTTCCTTCGATACGTCAGGTAGGAGTGATTTCATGGTAAAAGATGGTGGTTATCACATAAACTTTTTTAGACTCACTGTGCTGAATATTGTATTGTATTGTTTTCAGTTCTGTTGGGGTTGTAGCTGTCCTCTATGTTGTATGTCTTATTGCCTACAAGTATTGGATGGGAAATTTTGTACCAGGCCCAATCAAAACTGCTCCAAATTCATGGACAGATATATTCCTTGTTGTGCCTGCCATTTGTTTTGGCTACCAAGTAATTATTTCTTATCTCACTTGCTTTTTAGATACTCTATATTTATATTTCAATGTTCATTTGTTTTCATTTCCCTCTTTATTGCAGTGCCATGTCAGCATAATACCCATTTATTCCTGCCTTAAACACAGAACTCTGCACAATTTCTCAATCGTATGTATGTTTGCCATTGTGTTTTGTGTGGCAGCATATACAGTTGCTGGTGTTTTGGGCTACTTAACATTTGGGTCACTTGTAAAAAGTGATATTCTGCAATCTTATGGTGGTGAAAATCCATTTGTTCTCCTTGGAATTGGAGCTATTGCAATCAAATCATTTACCACTTACCCTTTGCTCCTGTTTTGTGGGAGGTAAGTTCTCTTTTAAATGTTCCTGTGTATCTTATCTTGTCTTTCAACTAGTTTGTTCAAACCATAGATTCTTTTCCAGGGAAGCTATAAGCACAGTCTGGTGTGAGCTTTTCAGTGCCTCACAAACAGACATTGCGTTAACAGAGTTTAAGCGCCGAGTTTCTATAGCATCTATTTGGTTTATACTAACTTTGCTCATTGCTGTTGTCAGTCCTGACATAGGCATTGTTATTGATGTTCTTGGATCCCTAGCTGCCATTTTTATTTTTGTTTTCCCAGGTGAGGCTGTATTCCTCAATCAAATTACTCACATAAAGTCGACCTCAGCTGTGTCTTACTGCATATTTTCTCTTACATTTGCAGGAATATGTCTTCTTCAGGCAACTCTCCGTTCTGACCCAGGCTTATACCTTAATAAACATCGATTCCTTGTTCTTGCCGCATTTGTGTTCATCATTGTAGGAACATTTGTGTTTGGAGTTGTCTTGACTCAAGCAATTGAACGTTTTGCTGATATTTCTAAAAGCCATAAACAAAGCTTGTGTGAATAAGCTGATAAGTGCTGTGATAAGTTATGTTTCTACTCATCTTTATTGTGATCCAATCTAGTATATTATTATAATTATTATTAACTTGAGCCTTGATGGCACATAAGCATATTTTTATACTCTATTTTTAAAAAAATATTTGACTTAGATTTAGATGAAGCTAGCATAAAATGTTGACTTAAATGTACCATCATTTCACTGTATTGTAGAAACAAAGGTTTTTTTTGTTTCAAGAACTTTACAGCTTTAAACTTCTTAAGTAAATTTAAAAAGTTGACAAAAATTATTATGAGCTCTTCTAGTTACTTATGATAGAAGAAATTTATAATAATAACTGTTAGTTTTATTTTCAAGTATGATGACGCATCTAATGTAATAACTGCTTGAAGGATGCTCCTGATTGTCACTGTTAACTGGTTGCTTTGTGTATGAGTATGTGGACTGTACACCTACCTGTATTCATTCTGCTTTCACATTGAATTGGTAACATGAGTGGAATTCATTTACTGTACATCACCAACTAACTTTTCTTTGAGTCCTTGTTTTTCTACAATACAGCTTACACGCTGGCCGTGGACACGAATTTAAGGCATCCTGTATTTGTACATTCTCAAATTGATGTGGCTCGGAGTCAATATAGACTGATAGGTAAAGAGAAAATAAATAAATAAAGGATATGTAAGTCAACTGCTTAACATCTTTATTGATTACTGCTGTCATACAATCAGACATTCCCAAAAAAGGCTTACAGGGAAAATAAAGGGAGAGGATATGTGATGAACATTATACATAAAGCTAACGAGATAGCAGCATAGTGCTGTTGAAACAAAACACAAGAATGATGGGAAGATGGAAAAATAATAATACACATACACAATTTCTTGCAACATCTTCATGACTTTAGTTTGTAAAGAAGATACAGTCAATAAATAGCCGGCTCTTCATCCACTGGAACCCATTTTCAATTGATTGCCCCCCCTACCCCCTCTAACACAAAAGAAACATACAAAACTATATTAACATTAACCTACAGTTACATATTCAACTCCAACATACAAAGGAGCATTTGTACTTCCCTCATGCCTGTGGGCGACCATCTTGCCCACCAAGTACATTTTTAATTACAAAATGTGCAAAAATATCCTGCAGTCATATTTTCAATCAAGAACCTAGAGGGTTGCAGGAGGAAACAAGGAGACAGTGTCAAACAAAATTTTCACCTCACTTATAGAAATAGTAAACAACCAACAATCATTCCAAAATGGTGTGATATAATGATGGTGACACTGTCAGAAAGGTGGGCAGAAGTCAACACAGGCTATCACTAGTCAGACTTTCAGGACCTCATAAGGCATGGGTCATATTCTTAACACATTACAAAGTCAAATAATTGCAGATTATATAAGGAACAAACATTACGTTCAACACAGCCGAGCCCCTGGAAGCAAGAGTAAAGCTCAATTGTCACCTTTTCTGCTCAAGGAGGACAGGGCGGGGTCGACGATCACACACTGGCTAGATGAACAACAATCTTTGGCTTTCTAAACTAACTGGTTACATTATATACATTATTTATTCACTTATTGACAGAACAAGGGCAGTGGGTGATATGAGGTTTCGAACAGTAGATATGAAATGCCCTCATAAAAAATAAAATAAAGTCTGACAGTTAGCAGTAAAAAGAAATGCCACACAAATATTGCTGGCTCCTCAGAATCTCACCCATTTGAAACTATTGAACACAAAACTGATATTTACATAAGAGATTGCCTTAGCAAGAAGCAAAATATACTCAATGCTACATAAACCTGATATAACAACATTTTAGTCAGACATAACACAGAACATAAATAAAGACTCATTTATTGTAAAATAAATAAATATTTGCAACAAACCCACAATAAGGAATCGCACGTTGCATGTGGCAGCAACGCTAACTAGAGACGATGGGATGATGGATAATGAGATCAATGATCAGGATCTGGGACGGATAGGATATGTGCTCAGAGGATCCTGGGCGCCGATCGGTCATTAACTCCACCCGTCTTCTTCAACGGCTTGCCACGCTTGATCTGATCCATGAGGGAATCATGACAGGTGGCGGGGTCAGGCGCCGTCCGCATGTTGATCCACTGCCGCACGCGGCTGGCCTTCTGCTCCTGCTTCTGCTGCACCTGCACCTGCTGCTGGTGAGACAGCCTGGCGCTCAGCGACTCGCGGAGGCTGTGCCCCATGCTGCCCATGCTGCCCATGCGCGGCGACCCGGTGGCGCCACCGAGCGGCTGGAAGTCCTCGGAGTGGCGCCGCGAGTGGCGCGGGCTCAGCGTGGGCCCCAGCTTGGCGCTGAGCGCCGCGATGAAGTTGGAGCCGACGCCGCCGACCCCGGCGGGGGCCTCGCCGTGGAGCGCCTTACGCTCGGCGCTCTGCGAGCGCAGGCTGTGCGTACGGCGCACCTGCACGGGGCTGGCGGGCTGGTGCTTGAGCTCCGTGAGCGTGCGCACCGCATCCGCCACGCTCGTCAGCCCCTCGCCGTCGTCGTCGGCGCCCTTGGGCTGCGCCACGGGCACGCTGATGCCCGACGCGGAGGTCCTCATGAGCTCCGGGCCCGTGAAGCAGCCGCCCGCGCCCGCGCGCAGCGCCTCCACGGCCGTCATGCGGCCCAGCGACGACGTCCGCTGCTGCTGCGGCATGCCCACCACGCCCGGCGCGCTCAGCTTCACGGTCTTCATGTTGGTGTTGCCCGACTGCTTCTTGATGGACGCCATCAGCTTGGCGTTCTGCGCGATCACGCTGTTGAGGGCCGTCGCGTTGCCCGGCGCGTTGCCCAGCTTCTCCTTGAGCTCCGAGGCCACCTTCTTGACGGTGCCCTGCGGCAGCAATGCGTCGTCCTGGTGGTGGTGGCTCTCCGGGTCCAGCAGGTACGCGGGCGGTGGCGGCAGGTTCTCCATGCTGCCCGTCTTGGCGATGGGCGGGTGGTGTGGGTGGCTGCCCGGGTGACTAGGTTGGGTCTGACTAGGCTGCTGTTGCTGCTGCTGTTGCTGCTGCTGCTGATGTTGTTGTTGCTGACCGGTCGTGGATATGGAGGAGGTCCTTCGAGTTGGCGGCGGTGGCTTCGGGCCCTGGTTCGAGCCTCGGCGCAGGAGGGTCCCACCTCGACCAACAGCATATCCTAAGGGATGAACCAGAGAAAAGGAATTTAGGTGTTGACACTGTTAGAGTTGCAAATATAGAAGTGAATGAATAGCTGAAGTGACGCTACCTTCCAAATGGTTGCCATCATCCATCATGGCAATAGCCGTTTGGCTGCCATATCCACTGCTGGACTCCAAGGAACTTTCACTTGTACTACCATCTCGCTCTGGACCATCAACCTAATTTAAAAAAAAAATAGAAAAGTGGTTGTAGCAAAAACAAGTGAAACGATCTAAGGAAAATAGGTTGTAAGGCGTGTTCTTACTTTGTCATGAGTATCATTGGCATTGGACACAAGCTCTGGTGGAGGCGGTGGCAAAAAGGTCATCTCCTGGGCTTTTGATGCAGCCATGCTTGCCAATTCATGCATATTAACATACGTTGGAACTTGGTTTTCTGAATCAAACATGAAAACCTCCAGTTAGTTTACCATACGACAAAATGTACATCAAAGGTTGCAAGTGGATGCTCCTACCTCTTAAATGCTGAGTGTGAGGGTTGGCAGAGAGTGCATTCGGAACACGACCTGTGGAGCCAGGAGCTTTGGCAGGCACTGAAGGCCTCTCTAGTGAAGAGTGGCGCTGGGGAATGACTGGTGGCCGAGCGTAGATGGCCTGGGGCTTGGGCGAGGGCGAGGGACTACCTCCATTGGGATCATTCAATGCAGCGTAAATGGGCTGAGGGCTTCCACCGCTGTAGTCAGATCGTGAACCGTAAATGGACTGGGAGTTGATTTCAGCTCGTGAGGCATAAATGGGTTGTGGGCTTGCAGTCCGCACTCTGAACGAGTTGCATAAATTGGTTGAGGGCTCCCACTGCCAACTTCATTGCGGGATGCATAAATAGGCTGCGGACTGCCAGTGCCAACCTCATTCCTAGAGGCGTAAATGGGCTGGGGACTGCTGTGGGCTACTGGCGTTGCTGGTGACCCAGCAGTGGCACCACTACTTTCAGCGGAACCAGACCCTGACCCCGACACAGACCCAGAGACAGGGCTAACTGGCTGTGAATGACTTAGATTATTGTCGGGTGCATGAAATGTGTACACTGTTAAAGGAGGCCTCTGATGTCCACGTTCGTAAGCTGGAAAAAAAGGAAAGAAAAACCATTGAATGCTACAGCAAAGTCAGTTTATGCTTGAAATGAATTATTGAGAGCACAACTAAACACTTTACCTGATGATATAGTATGAGGACGCTCGTTAAGGATGGCAGAGGCGGCCCTTTCAAACTGCAGAGTTTCCTGCAGATTGGGCCACGTTGCTGTATTGTTTTGATTGGGCAGGAGAGCATGGGGAGTAGTTGGAGTTGAACCATTGCTGCTACCGCCACTGTGCTCTGACAAATTCGTAGTCTGCAACACAATATTTAAAACTAAGTAAACAAATGAAAAAACAAACATTAGCTTTGACCTCCCATGATTAACCCAGTAACACAAAAATAAATTGAATCAAACCATGACAAATAAATAAAATTTGGGATGCAGTTCAAAATTATTCCTTGGCGATTACCTGATTACTTCTTGCTAATTGCAAGCCATCCTGAGAGGTGAAACCAGAGTCTTGAGATGACACACTTGAGAGGTGTAAAGGGCCTCCCAGCACACTACCCCTGCTCACGCTGCCAAATGTGCCACTCAAAGTACTGCTCCGACCAGAAGGCAGCGGCCGCTACAAAACACCATGCAAAAACAAAAAGCAAACTACAGTAATCTAAAAATTTCACAAGCAACATAAAACTGAAACAAAGCACTCTCATAAAAAATGTTGACTATTTAATGTGCACTGTTAATATATTGTTGGTTCAATGCTACATAACGCGTTAAAATAAATAAGTATAACTTTAAAGGCGGCAACACTACTAATCTTACAAATCAACATATAGATCATAAAATAATACTTATCTACACAAAATCTTGAAAAGCGAAATATATCAAATATGTGAGAACATCGACTACAAAGTTTCATTACTGATTTAAAAAAATAAATTCAGGTGCCAAGAATTTTTTTTTTTTTTTCATTATTCTAAGGACAAAAAATTTTCTACTGTCTAAAGGTCTACTAATTAACTAGACAACTGACGAAGACACTACATCATTGACATGAAATTACCTCTAATGGCTCAGGTTCCTGAATCTTTCCAGTCTGATAGCACAGGAGGAAAACGGACAGCCATCAAAATAAAAACCATCAAACTTGAGAAAATTGATTCTTTGCCACATATTTTGGCTACTCAGAACAATTACGAAAGACATCTCACCTGAGAGAGGGACCTGTGCCAATAATGGTGGGATGGGGAATGATGCGACTTGGTGGAGCCGGAGCTCGAGGAGTTGAGGGACGAGATGGAGCACATGGACGATTTCCGGGAACCCAGGGACGACGGACTCGACGGCGGGGTTTGGAATGTCCACGAACTTTCAGAGCCTTTCAAGTCGGCGATCACCTGCTCGCTGGCCGGGGGGAGCACCAGCGGGTCGGCAGTGTGCTTGTCGAGGACTTCCACCACCTCCTGCAGGTGGCCCATCTCCGACAGCATCGCCACTTCCTCGTCCTAAACAAGAAGCACACTGGTAAACGCGGGCCCGACACAGGTGAGGCTGGCGCGCAGCGGGCCAGAAGACCGGTGGAGGCTGTCAAAATCCCGGACGCGTTTTGAGCAGCTCCAGAGTCGCTAAATGGGACTCAAACCGAACGTGTGACCCCACCAATGGATTGCTCTCCGAACGAGGAATGCATAAGTGGGGTCCACTCACACGCTCGGTTCGAGTCCCCTTTAAAGACTCTGGAGCTCAAAACGCGTCGGGAGTTTCGGCCAGCGGGGCCAGTCTCCTTGCCCACAGCGTGGCACTGCGTGGCACTGCGTGGCACTGCGTGGCACTGCGTGGCACTGCGTGGCGAGGGCGGCAAGGCCATCTTTACAGTGGTGTCACTCACCACGACGGGCTTGAGGAAGGTGGCGAAGGCACAAAACCTGGCCCTCTCCTCGATGAGGGCGGCGCGCACGGCCTGCTTCTCCGCGGCCTCCAGCAGCTGGCGCCGCTCCGTCACGTCGGCCAAGCAGCTCTCCACTCTCTTGGCCAAGTCGCCCCCGCAGCCCTTGCGGGCCTTCTTCTGCAGCCTTAACGTGTCCGTCGACCTTTTCTTTAATTCTGCTTTGGCTCTTTTATATTCTGAAAAGGGGGATCGAGAAAAAATGGCATCAGAAAATTATAAAATCAACGAACAACTTTTGGATTCAAAGCGGGAGATGTAAACGACCCTTACCTTTGGCATGATCTTTGTCTAAATTGATTACAGTCTTCTTCCAGTCCTCTAATTTTTCTTGAAGAGGTATCACAAGACAGTCCATCATAGCGCTGTGAACAGGCAGGGAAACGCCCAATGAGGCACCGAGGGCAAAAAATAAACAGCACGACTAAAGTCAACAATTGCAATTGCGCGTAGAGCATTACGTTGAAAAGGTCTTCATCCGCGCTTCCACGGCTTTGTGGCGGAGGCAGATCCTCGTCAGTGCAGTTCCGATTTCCTTGGTGGCGCCTGCGCAACAAAAGAGGCAAACACATATTAGTCGCGCGCCACACCGATTGTTGAACGTCCATCCTTAAACCTTAAAACACCGAACAGACGATTAGACGCCACACCCCTTTTCGACCTCGGCGCGCAGAGAGAAAGAGAGATGGAGAGAGAGGGAGAGAGAGAGATGGAGAGAGAGAGAGGGAGAGAGAGAGAGGAGAGAGAGAGGGAGAGAGAGAGGGAGAGAGAGAGGGAGAGAGAGGGAGAGAGAGAGGGAGAGAGAGAGGGAGAGAGAGAGGGAGAGAGAGAGAGGGAGACAGAGGGAGACAGAGGGAGAGAGAGGGAGAAAGACAGCAGGCGGCACTTGGGTGCCCCGCACCGCGGGCCTCAGCGACCACGAGGACGGCACATTTGCAATGCAGAGTCGACGAGAGCGGTGGCTCCGGCCGGGTGGCATGCATGCATGCACCTCGGAGTTGCGACGAGCAAAACGAAAATCGATTGACAGCCTCTCAGGCCCAGCCCTGGGCGTCGTGAAAGAGGCAGGGCCGGGGGGATGAGTTACAGCGAGCACTGAGCAGCTCCTGACATAAGAGCGTTGCACCGAGGGCCAGAAGACCGGCGGAAGCGGTCACAACCCCGGACGCGTGCTCGGCCCCAGAAGCACAGGACAGAATGGGACCCCCAATGCCGCTACACACTTAAGATTATTTGGAGAGAACCTCTTATAGTTCTCCCCATGCAAAAATTTCTTAACGAACTTCGTTCACACAGTGAAACACGAGGTGCTCGGCGGGCTGAGTCATATGCAGCGGCGCCGTACCCGGCGGACGCGAGGGAACGGCGCGCCGCAACCCGCAGCGCCATCTAGCGGCGCTCCCCGCAAGCACACGCAAGCCCAGGAGCGGCCCGGCCGCCCCGCCGCACAAGATAGGTCGACGCAGGCGGCAAAAATCCCAGACGGGTCGCTAAATGGGACACGAACCGCGAACGTACGACCCACCAATGGATTCCTCGCGTGTTGCACCGAGGACGAGAAGACCTGCGGAGGCGGCCAAAATCCCAGACGCGTTTTGAGCTCCAGGGTCCCGAACCGCTCTCTGAACGAGGAATCCATTGGTGGGGTTACACGATCTGTTCGAGTCCTGTTTAGCGGCTCTGGAGCTAAAACGCGTCTAGAGTTTTGGCTGCCGGCGCCGGTCTTCTGGCCCACTGTGCGGCGGGTGCCGCGGGCCATAAGTTGATAGGGATGGGCCGCACTGCCGCACCCCTGGACTTGGCGTGCAGCCTGCGTGGCCCGCCGCCACTTCGGCACCCTTCAGGTCCCCTCAGGAGGGTGGCACGGTCATAATATATGCGCCCTCCGTCCTGGGGGTGGCGGGGTGCGGCGGGGCGCGCTAGGTGCCATGAAGGTCGAGCTTGACGGTGGCTTGGCTGCCTCCGCTAGCGGCGCCGCGGCCTCGCGAGAAGGTAAGGCGCTAAGGCGACGGCGACCCTCCCCCACCCCACCTCCTCGCGACGGACCAGTACTACGTTTACACGAGAGAGCTAGCCTCGGTCAACTCGAGGGGTGGGGGAGTGGAGGGGGTAGGTCTCGAGCTAGCCGGGGTCAACTCACGCGCATGAACACGTAGGTGGGTCAACGAGTTAAACCCCTCGAGCTACCCTGGCTAACCCGTTGACCGAGGCTAACTCCAACGTGTAAACACCACACGGTCAAGTGAGGTTAGGTGTGCGCAGTGTTTTTGAGGTGTTGTAAGCCCATCTATTTTCTATTATTATGAATACACCTGTGAAATCGTTGGAAAAAACTTGGGAAGCAGTTTTCTGTTGTATGAAATCATTAATTTACTTATTCTATTTTATGTAATTTTTATTGATTTGTTTTTTACCACTTGTAACTGATCGTTTCTGAATAAAAATATCCTTTGTCGATTGCGTAAAGCAAATTTCGACCTGATTTCGACTTAAATTCGAAATTGTTTAGGCTATCTTGAGGTTAGAAAGTCACCCCAACAACGCTCCACCGGCACCGCGTGAACACGACGTCTGCTAGCCCTGGCTGAGTGGTGTCTCCCCTCCACTCCCCCACCCCTCGAGTTGACCGAGGCTAGCTCCCCCGTGTAAACGTAGTACAGGAGACAGCCTCCCCCCACCCCTTCCGGCCTTCCAGCGCGCAGCCCTTCGCCGCCGCGGGGCAACGCGCACGGCGTGGCGTCGATGGAGGCACCGAGGCCCCCGCGGCCCCCGCGGCCCCCGCGGGGGTAACAGGGGGAGGGGGAGTCAGCTGGTGTTGGCCCCCGCGCCCCCGCCCTCGTCTGCCGCCCGCCCCCGCCGCGCCCGGCCACACCGGCGGCGTCGCGGCGCCCCGACCGACGGAAGTCCTCCCGGGCCTCGGGGCCCCGTCCCCGCGGGGCGATGCAGGGGCTTAGCGGCCACGGCCGCGCGGCCCCAGAGGGGGCATCAACAAAGCGGGCCGCAATCACGCCGGCAAGGAGGAGGAGCCACCGTCCGGGTCTAGCGCCCCACCGTGGGCCAGAAGACCGGCGCCGGCGGCTAAAACTCTAAACGCGTTTGGAGCTTACAGAGTCGCGAAACAGGACTCGAGCCGAGCGAGTGACCCTACCAGGATTCCTCATTCGGAGAGCAACTCATTGGTGGGGTCACAGATTCGATTCGAGTCCCATTTAACGACGCTGGAGGTCAAAACGCGTCCGGGCTTTTGACCGCCTCCACCCGACCGACCGGTCTTCTAGCCCACTGTGCAGCGACGCGGCGGTCACTGCCTCGAAGGCCGTCCACAGCGAGCACAGCCTAGACGGCCTAGGCCGGCGACACACGGAGGGATCCCTTGCGCGATTCCAGAGGCACGTACCGGCGTGGCGGCCAGGACCACGGCCAAGACCACGGCCAGGACCACGCCGAGCACAGCCTAGCCGGTCCCGGATCAATAGCGGGCCGGCGTGGGCCTGGGCCTGGGCCCGGGGAGGGGGAGGGATACTAATAGCCGCAGCGAGGGAGAGCGACGGAGACGGCGAATAGAAGGCGGGCCTGCCGGCCGCGGCGAGGCAGACAGGGGTTGCGTGGCGGTGCGGCAGCGCGGCTACAACCCCCGGCCCTGCGCCACCCCATCCGCAACGGGCCGGCGCGCGCCACGCCGCCCCGCCCCGCCGCCGAGTACACCCGCACTCCCGGAGCCAGAGGTCGCATGACCTTGCGCGCGACCTCTGCTCGCACCGCGCCACTTGGGCCGACGGGCCGACAGGGCGACGACAAGGGCTTTACGGGGATCAAAAGGGACGCGCGGACCGACAGTGAAAGGGTCTCGCGTTCCCTTCCGAGCGCGGACAAGGGCCGGCGAGGCGGCGCGGCCTGGAGTGGCATTGGAGTGGGGGTACTTTCGATCAAAGGGCAGACGGCGGCGAAAGGCACCCCCTCCAACCCCAGACCGCGTTCCAGGCAGCTGCCTTCCAGGAGGCGCGGCCTGGCACGTCCAGAGCACACGTTCACCCAGCCAGGGGGCCCAAGTCCTGCAGCACCCTCTACATCACACCGCCAGCCAGGCAGCCAGCCAGGCAGCCAGCCACCCAGCCAGCCACTCTCCGGCCAACACATATTGCACATCGCGCGCGGAGTGCAGCTCCCCGGCGGAAAGAAAAATGTGAGAACACGCCGAGCAGGCCAGGCAAGGCAAGGCAAGGAAAACTTACTTCCAGAGGCAGCATGTGTTGCGCGGGCCCACCGAGAAAGCCCCGGGAAAAAGAAAATAAAAGGAGAGACCGGAGGCCCGGGCCGGGCCGACATGGCGGCGAGCAGCTCGGAGCAGCGCGTCCAAATCCACCAACTTTTCCTCCCTCCCCTCGCGTCGCATTGCGTTTCCGCATCCGGCTGGCACGGATCTTCTTTTCCAGAGTACTGTGTACAGTGTACGCGACACACACACGCCCCCCGCCCCTTCCGCTAGCTTATTTGCCCGCCATTTTATTGCCCCGTTTGGCACCGCTGACCAGCACGCCGTGCCGTGCCGTGCTCGTCGAGTGCGAGTCCGCCACGCCGCAGCCACGCACGAGGCACGCCCCAACAGCCCGCCGGCCAGGCCGCCGTGGCCCCATAAGCCCCCGCGACCCCCCAAACAGTTGGCCGCGCGTGCTGTTTGGAATCTCGTGGATATTTTCAGTGCAACTCTACGCGCTATGAGTCCGCCGCTGCTGCCTGCCGCCCGCGCTGCCCCAGGCCACGCCGCACAGTGGGCCAGAAGACCGGTGGAGGCGGCCAAAACTCTCGACGCGTTTTGTGCTCCAGAGTCGCTAAACAGGACTCGAACCAAACGTGTGACCCCACCAATGGACTCCTCGTTCGGAGAGCAATCCATTGGTAGGGTCACACGTTCGGTTCGAGTCCGGTTTAGCGACTCTGGAGCTCAAAACGCGTCTAGAGTTTTGGCCGCCTCCACCAGTCTTCTGGCCCACTGTGCGCCGGCACGCCGGCCACGCCTCGCCTCGCGTGCGTTCGTGTGCGTGCGGCGGTGTGGCGGTCGTATACCAGTGTGGTCGCTGCCCCGCGAACAGCTGAGCCCCGCGCCAGCGCCGCACCGCCCGCGGCCCAAAAGCCCTGCCAAGAAAAACACCGCATTTTCTCACCCATCAAACGCGCGGCGGAAAAATACATATATAAAATAATGGAAACCAGAATTAGAACTTCCCACGGCGATACCCGCCGAGGCTCCGAGCCGCGCAGCATGGCATGCGGAGCTCGCAGGGCGTGGCGGGGCGGGGCGGGGCGGGGCGGGGCGGGGCGTGGCGGGGCGGGGCGGGGCGGGGCGGGGCGGGGCGGGGCGGGGCAGGGCGCGGGGCACAGAAATACGCCCGCTGTCCACCGAAACAAACACGAAAAAGAGCGGAAAACCACGCGATTACCCCTAAACCCTCAGCCACATCGTAATTTGCATTTAGCCGAAAGCCCCCGGACCAAATATATATCCGGCCGCGGCACCGCCAGCCGCGCCAGCCCCGCGCTCTACAAAC